CGGCCGCATCCGCCGCTGAAGGTATGAGAGGGAGGGACGGGTCGCGGCGGCGGCGAGGCCTGCGGGTGGTGGAGGCGCCGGTGCCCGTCGGGGTGGCGGAGGGAGGGTTAGCGCTGAGCGGGGCTCGGCCCGGTCCGGGAGGACACGGTGCTAGGCCTACGCGCCCGCTTGGAGGACGAGGAAGGGCATGGGTGGGGGAGGCGCTGGCAGCCTCTTCCGCTCCCTCCGCGGTGTGTGCTGAGTGGCAGCAAGGATCCGATGTTACCGGGAAAGGACACAGGAAGGTTCTAGTTCAGAGTAATTACAGAGGCCTCGGATGGATTCTGTTTTGGGAATAAGGAAGTGCTTTTTCTGGCTCTGCTGGGGATGTAGGCCCGTACTTATTTCTTCAGGGGAGAAGAACATCATATGAATCTGAATGGATTTGAAAAACTATTTCTCCCATCCTTTTTCTTTTAAATTTTCCTCTTACTTTTCCCTCCTGTTTATTTACAGCTGGACACCTAAACATCTGGACACATTAGAGGTGCTTGCAATTGTTCTATTTTGTGAGGCTTTTCCCTGCTTTTATTTTTTTTTTTTTCTCCTTTGTAGTTTTGGGGCATATGCCAGATAGCTCTGCTGTTTTAAGATAGTGATGTATTTCAGTTTTAAGTGCAAGTGCTTCCTATATGTTTCCTGTTCACTTTTGTGACTTCCAAGGGTCAGACCTTGATTGTACTGCTAATAGCAGATGTAGATGTTAAAATTCTAATTCGTTTAAGCTGAATAACTTAAAGCTATCTCTTTGCCTTTATTTTACAAAAAATAATAGCTATTCTGAAGTACTATGATTACTGAAGTATATTAGTGCTCTTTTATGAGATTCATGTAATGTGTGAAAGACAGACATTCTTGTGGGATCTTACTAAGTTTTCAAGAAAGGACTTCTGGCTTCCAGTGTAGTAATCTTATTGCTAGCTAACTAAAGCCCTAAATCACTTGTCAGAATACTAAAGATATTCAGTAGGTGCACTTATTTCTTAGAAGCATTATGCTTAATCTTCATCCTGTTTGTAGGCAGATGTGGTCAAGGTTGACCAGAACTTCTCAGTATTTGTAGTGTTCTCTGCTCTGTTCGTTATTTCACGTGCCAGTTGGTTCTCTGGCCTTTGTGTTTGGAGAGTAACACGTTGCAGAAGGTACCGGAGCTCACACAAGGTCACAAAATGTCAGTACAAGCCACGAGGCCTTCTGAGTTCAGCTTAGGGCATCAACTGTAACACAGTTCAGAGACAAAGTGTTTTATGATCAGCTCTTGGAATTTGTCCTTGCTAAAATGTCAGAAGCAGAGAAATTAAATAGTTACAATGTATCTGTCCTAACAGAGCAGACATGTTTTTGTGCTGTATATTTATATTTCAGTAGCTTCAGAGTTTGTTTGTGTTAAGTCAGTGTCTAGGTATGTTCGAATAATTTTCATGCCCTTTGTACTACACATTTAGCCGGTGCTCTTTTTCAGGTAACAGTTTTTAGGAAATTTGACTACTTCTGAAATAAAAGTGTGGGATGTACTATGGTGCTTTTTCCTAATACTGCCACACCACAACAAACCTATGTACCTGTAAAGAGCTCAAATCTAACTGATACTGGCTTGCAACAGGTCAGTCTGAATAGAATTGTAATAAAGCTCTGCTTTTCTGTGGCTTCTACAAATGTCTGTCTCTGTCAGTTAAAGAGTATGACTTCTAAGAGTAAATTGTTGTGAAAATGGGGGTGTGAACAAATATTTCTGGTACCTGGGCAGCATGGTAGCTACTGCAGTACAACAGCTGCAGTATTGTTGTGCTGCAGGCCAAAGATGCAACTAGGCAGAGCTGAATAGAGATCAAGAGTCTCTTCTCTGATTACACCTTCATAGAAAGCCTTGTTTGTGTTTGTTTAACCAGTCATTCTGGCAAGTTGTAAACAAAATATTACTGTTGTGTGCAAATGTGGTAGCATAACCAAGCTACTGTAGAGGTGCATGTAAGTCCTGGACCAGCATATTACAAGTCTTGAGCAGCATCTCAAAAAATATTCTCATAGCTTATACATTATTCTTGACTGTTAACTGACTTCTCACTTCGAAGTTTAGGCTTAATACAGTGTCTGTGATTTGGAATTTGTTATTTTAGAATAAAGAAAAAACATTTTTGTTGTCTTGTGATTAATTTTGAAGAGTAAGGTGAGAAGTGTGAATGTAAAACGTAATGTAAAATCTGGAACGTTCTGGGGAAGAAGTTCCCGTATAATAAAGTTATGAGCTGAATAAGCCTGCTAGTGTTAACTGGTGCTCTGTTGATGCTGTTAAACATAATTGTAAATTTTTGTTGATGTTCATAAAAGAATTTATTTCAGAAACAAAAAGACAGGGCAGAGAAGCTCTGAATAGGATAAGTTTTTGCTGTCTTTTGATTTTCATTAGCAACTCTGTAAAGACAGTTCTTAATCAATTGGTGTAACATTCCTTTATATTGAAGTAACACCACTAGATCTAATAGCAGAAGAACCTAGATTATCCCTTTCTACTCTGGGGAATATTTTCTACATAGCATATTGTTTTCTATATGCTTATTTAGTATATTAGTTTTGCTTTTACTTAAATATTTAAAATGTGAAGCATAGTAGAACTGTGCTGCTACCTTATGCTTATTTTGTACTGTTAATTGTAAACTTGAGTGTTTTCTGGTTGCATATATTCATACCCTCTGTAGCTTCTTCAGAAATGGAAGAAGGAAACTGATTCTTGTTTTTTAGCTCCAGTAACTTTGCTGTGTTGGATTTTGTGAAAATTAATAACTTGTTCTCAAAACTGGGTGGTTTTATATGCAGTACTGTATAGAACACTGCAAATTAAGTATCCCTTGATTAAATGTGATCTGAAAGATTCTTTAATGAACTTTGTTTATGGGCATTGAATGTGATGATTAACTTAATAACATTATGCGGTTTCATGAAACGGAAACTGCATAAATCTGAAATTCTGTATTTGGAATTAATTTTAAAAAACTGTATAAAGAATCTGAAAAATACCTGAAAATATATCTTCATAAATAAAAATCCAGTGCTGATCTTGTAGATTTGTATGGTCTCTAATTAAATGCAGAAGTTTCGCTATCACAGAATATTTAACCAGAGAAGCTTTGTCTCAAGAATACTAGAGAAACACTCTTGCTTAATTCCCTGATAGAAGAAAATGTTGGACCTTGCAAATTTGAGTCATAATTTCCACTAGCGGCTTCTAGGATTAATTTCTGTGGTTCAAGTGTGCTGTGAGCTAAAACTGAACTGTTTCTTCTATTGCTTTTTAAAAGGAATAAACTCAATTCGGAAGGATTAGAATGGAATCTTGTCAGTCCAAAAGGTGTTAATTTGAAGCAAGGGAATTATTTTGAGTATAATACTACAGTTGAATAATACAGCATGGGACATGATTTCAGTTTAATACACTTGAGAAGGTAGCACTCAGTCAATTTTGTTTCTTTTCTGATCTTTGTTACCATTTATGATTGATCATATATATGTAATTTTTTTCAATTAACTAGAATACAGCTGTGCGTATGGCTCAGGCAGATTCTTTATGCTTTGTGGCCTTGGTGGGATTATTAGCTGTGGAACAACACATACAGCACTGGTTCCTCTAGACCTGGTTAAATGCAGAATGCAGGTTTGTTCTGCATGTTGGTATGTGGTGACATTGACAAAGCATGTTTAGTGTGGTATATTTAATCTACTAATAACTTGGAGGCATAGACAACAGTGCATGAAGTTTATGTAAAAGCATGGTGTGTCTTTATTTTTTGCTGCAGAATACAGTTGTGAATATGGCTCGCTCAAGTTTTATGCTCTCTGTGGCGTTGGTGGGGTCCTAAGTTGTGGCCTGACACACACTGCTGTTGTACCTCTGGATTTAGTGAAATGTCGTATGCAGGTTTGTATTAACTTAAACATTTATTAAACTTTTTCTCTATGCAGCCAGCATATTAAGAATTAACTGTAGGGATTCGGTCTTTTCTGGAAGTGAGTAAACTTGAATGGTCTTTTATCAAATCTACTGCTGTGAGACTACAAAATACCATTTTCAAAAGAAGCAGGGACATTTAGGATATTCTAGAACTATTTTTGACTACATTTAAGGCAAGTTTAACTGACTGTTTTTGCTGGAAGGCACCCAGCACAATATAACTCTTTGCTGGCTGGTAGGCTGTTTAGTGCTATTCATGTGCTTTTGGAGAAAGGAAATAGTATCTTTGGTGATTTGGTTTGGAAGGTCTGTGGTTTTCAGCCTGGAGTGACATGCATGTGTAATTTGATCCACTAACGACGATGTTGTGGATATTGATGCATGGCTTATGAATTGGATACTTTCTAATGATGCCCCTTTGAATAGAATGTGTAAAACTTGATACAGTATTGGTAAGGCCATCAGTGCTAGTTTCCTTGAAGTGGTTCTTAATTGAACTGAAAGGAGTGTCATCACACTGCACTTAATTTGCAATACCAGCTTCCGCATTAAAATCACCTAGTGAACAGCCATGGATTAAACATACTAATGGATTTATTCAGGCAAATCTGTGCCTCAGAAGTGAAGCAAATTAAAGCATGCTTATGAATTTCTGGAAATAGAGTAGTTAATGACTTCCCTGTTGACACTGAATATAAAAGTGGTGATTCTGTAACGATAGAACTCCTGAAATTAGGAGGAAACTATAAATTAGTGAGGCTTACTACTTGCACTAGGAGTACTGCATGTGATATCCTGTAAAATTGTGTTCTGGAAGGCCTTTATTTAACATTCTTTACAATAGAGGCTTTTTCAGCTATTTGAGAATATCTGAAATTCTGTTCTCAAATTAGTAATTCTGTAACATATCAGACAAAGACAGGGTGCATCAAATGATGGCAACCTGCTGCTTTCTACAAAATTTGCATTGAGACCAGGCTAACTGTAGGAATTTCCTATTTCTACTATTAGAGAATAACTGTAACTGAGCATTTTATTTCTGAAATGTAGCTTAAGTGCAGTCTTCTATTGTTACGGACTTAATAATCCAAGATCTGTAGCTTGACTACCTGTGCCTAAGGTTTGAGTTTCCCGAGAGGGAGATTGATCATGGGTAGAGAGGATGTAGCATCTCAAACAGTTCTTAATCTGATTGAAAATTGGGATACTGGGCAGAAGGCCTGAGAGCTATACAGTGCTGCATACACAATTGGGAGCAAGGCCTCATACTTGCCAGGCTTCAACTGCTTGGTAGGTGTGCTCAGCTTAGGCTACCTGTCCTGAGCTTCTTATGTGGTAAGGGTGGTGGTACTTCCCCTTCCTTCTCCAGCACTTAGAGGAAGGTGCAAGAGGAGAGTTCCATGTGGATTCCAGGTGTGACCTTGTAAAACCTGTCAGCATTTATCTCTTTACAAATCCAGTACAGAGCATGTTACTAATCCTAGATTCTCCAGGAGGAAACCTGTTGCCTGCCTTCATGTCTTTAAGAAGTCAGCTTTTATGTAGATGGTAAATAAGCATGGTTCCTACATGAACAGTTTCATTTCACAGTACCTGATTAAATATGCAATTTTCTGAAATACTGAATATTTTAAAATTGACATATTTAGGTAAACTAGTTCTCACGTAGGTTGTTTCCACACTGTAAGACAAAATAGCAGTCACTGCAAGTTGGCATGCATGTCCCATAGCTCTTTCTGAAAGCTTTGGTTGACTTCTAATTTGATATCTTCTTACCTCTCTGAGAAAATGTTGGATGATGTCAAATATGAAAAGTAACATTGTGATGTGACAAAATTTGTTAGAATGATCTGTTTAAGAATTTGTTAAATGGTTTCTTTTCACATGAAACATTCAGGTTGGCGTTTTTTATTTCTGATAAGTTATTAATGAAATTTCACTGCAAGTTTTGTATGTAGAAAATATTTTGTATGTAGCCTTTACTGTGAAGTCAAAGTACAAGTGTAGAAGTTCTTGAATACTATTTGATGTGCTCTGCTCCATCTGTCTTAGTCTGACTGTGTGGAGGGATAAACCTAACAGTGGACAAATAACCTTTTCGGATTAAGAATCAAGCGAATCATCAGGTTTGGTTTGTGGTGACACTTGAGTGTACATAGGTATGACATGTAGAGTGGTTGAGATTGCTGACAGAAGCTGACATTTTTAAAGAATCTGATCTAAACATAGTTATGCCAGTATATTACAGATGGTGTTAGAATAGTGATTTCAGTAAATCTCCCTGATACAGAAATTCATATTGTTTTGTGGTTCCTAAGTATTGAGGAACATACTGGCTGATAAAATAAGTTAGGATTTGAGACTAGCAAATTACCGTTACATTAGTGTAACCTTGTGGTGAGTACGTTATCCCTCCAGGGAACCTTAGGAAGCTAGTTGTATGAGGATTTTAAGAATTTATATTTCAGGTGGGGGTGTGAGAAGGGAAACAGTAAGCTATATCTAGCAATTAACTGCCTATTCTGTTTAGGTCGATCCACAAAAATACAAGAGCATCTTCAATGGATTTTCAGTGACAGTCAAAGAAGATGGTGTTCGTGGCTTGGCTAAGGGATGGGCTCCTACCTTTATTGGATATTCCATGCAGGGGCTTTGTAAATTTGGTTTCTATGAAGTTTTCAAAATCCTGTATGGCAACATGCTGGGAGAGGTAAGCTTTGGGTGGTTTACATAAGGCTATACATCTGCAACATAATAATATTAGTAACACAGTTTTAGTATCACAAAAGTGTGATTCATTAATAAAAATGTGTGTTTAAATTCACTTCAGGAAAATGCATATCTGTGGCGTACTTCATTATATTTAGCTGCATCTGCCAGTGCGGAGTTTTTTGCTGACATTGCTCTGGCTCCGATGGAAGCTGCTAAAGTTCGTATTCAGACACAGCCTGGATATGCAAACACTCTGCGGCAGGCTTTACCTAAAATGTTTGGAGAAGAAGGCATCTGGGCGTAAGTATATCTCGATTTCTATTTTTATCCAGGTTCTTGATGTTTTTCCTGATGAAGAACTGTTGCCAAAACTAGTTGTGGCTTTAGCTTATAATACTTTTTGGTCCTTATATTTCAAGATAACAACATACTGCAGTGAATCTGTGCTGAACTGGCTGTTAATTCCACATGCTCCTTAGATCCATCTTTGTGAGTATCTTTGTGCTGAGTTCTGCTGGATAACTTCAGTTTCTAGCAGTTCCAGTCAGAGATATTCAGCAACTTTTTGGTTGTACAGTCAAAGATGCTTGAGTCATTGGCATGTAAGAGTAATATAACTGCATGTTAGCTTTCTGTTCTGATGGAAGTGGCTGTAAACATACGAGTCATGTATTACTATCGGGACTTGGCTGATATGCAGACATGGGCCTTACTGCACTTGTAGTATCAGTACAGCATTGCTGCAATGCATCGTACTCTGAAAAGTGACTACAAAAACAGCTGTGCAGTGTACAGATCAGGTATATTCTAATTTGTGTTGCTGTTTCAAGTTAGTACTTGGGAACTAATAAATTTCTGGTTTGTAGGTATTGAGACACTTAAGCCTTAGAGTGTCAGTATTTAGAAGTTGTATTCTCGATAGCAACAATAAGCTAACTAGTCTTTTTTCATGTTAGAAATGCGCTTTAAATACTGGAGAAAATGAAAGAGTGTCTTTTCTCTGGTTAAGTTTCTATAAAGGTGTTGCTCCACTATGGATGAGACAGATTCCATACACAATGATGAAATTTGCCTGCTTTGAGCGTACTGTTGAAGCTCTCTACAAGTATGTTGTTCCCAAGCCACGAAGTGAATGTACAAAAGGAGAACAGCTGGTAGTCACATTTGTTGCAGGCTACATTGGTAAGGAATCTTTTAAGTCCTACACTTCATTAATGGATTACTGCAACTCTAGAAGTCTATTCCTCCTCAGAATATCAAATAATTGTAGCTAGAATTGCGGAATTTACTTCTCACTATAAAATGTGCAGGGAAAAAAAAACTATTAAATCTGTAAGTGGCAAATGGGTCTGTAGGATGATAGTGCTCTTAAAATTAAGTTCCTATGTCTTAACAATGTTAATGTCTAAGTTTAGAAACTGCAGCTGATTCAAGTGAAAAAACTTGCATCTTTGCTAGGCTGGGGAAGGTTGAAGGAAGGGGAGAGAAATCTGAATGAAAGGGGGAATTTTCAATATTCAGAGATTCAGAGGGAGTTTTGTTTCAGCAGAAGAGGTGATGTAAGAGCAGAACTGAGGTGTTTTCTAATATTCATGTCACATTGTAAGATGTAGCTGCTGTCCTTTTAGGATACAGGGAGGGTTGAGATAAATTGCACAGAAGTTATTAGAAGGTTTGGTTTCAGCTGGTTGTACTTAATGTACAGTAACAGTACAGCTTGTTTCAGCTATAAGTAACAGAACTAATGTCAAATTACTCTTTCAGCTGGTGTGTTCTGTGCAATTGTTTCCCATCCTGCTGACTCCGTGGTGTCTGTGTTGAACAAAGAAAAGGGCAGTTCTGCTTCACAGGTTCTTATGAGGCTTGGATTCAAAGGTACATCCTTTTATGTATTTTGGATCAAAAGCTTGTGGTGTTTTGTCTTTTGGGGAAGATTTCTTTTACCTGGTTTTGTATGCTACTCATCTTTCGTTTTGCTATACAGGTGTATGGAAAGGTCTGTTTGCGCGTATCATTATGATTGGTACCCTGACTGCACTACAGTGGTTCATCTACGATTCTGTGAAGGTTTATTTCAGACTTCCTCGTCCACCTCCACCTGAAATGCCAGAATCTCTGAAGAAGAAGCTTGGTCTAGCTGAATAGACAGCTCATGGACTGACTGTGCTGGCTGTCCCAGTGATGAGTTTCATGAAACTTTTATATATTTGACTATGTAGAAAACATATATGATGTCATTATTGGCTGTGCCCTCATCCCACACGAGGGTTTAAATTCTACCACTGTCATGGTCTGAAATAAATGAGAAACAGAGTGCTTAGTGTCTGTTTACTACTGCATATATAAGCTTCATTTCATAGCAGCAAATACCTCAAATACTTTCCCCCACCCCCTTAAAGAATTTAATCTATTCTACACTTTAGGAACTAGAGAATTATGAAACAGTTGTAACAAAAATAAGCTTTTGCTGTTTCCAGAGAAGTGCCAAGAACCTGTCATTGCAGAACGGCAGTAACTAACCTGCAGTTCTATGCATTTTGAGTCCACTGTTTTATTTGCCTATAATAAGCTGTTACTGTAGAACAGCTGAATGGAATGGCTGAGATGAGACTGCAATCTGCTAGGGCATCCTGGTCATACAGATAAAAGGAACCTTATATATAATAGAGCTGTTTCTGCTTTGGGGTGGTTATCCTAACATAACTATCTTATGCTTGTTTGACTAACTTCTGCTTTGAACCACACCAAAGAACTCAGTCCTTTCAGTTGTACTGTGGAATTAAACAGTAACTGCCACCTTAACAAAAGAAAAGCTGATGTTGATGAAGATTCTCAAAGATACCCAACCACTAAAAGCTTACTACAGCTTTACAGTAAGAGAAAAATGCCTTGCCTCTTACTGTAGACTTTAACAAACTTGCCAGCTTTTCCCTATAATTGGTTACTCCTGTGTTTGATTTCATTTTTTCTCTGAATTAGTTTAACTGTAAAGCAGAGTTTTGGTTGAGCCATGCACTGCTGCAGTGCAAGAAGCCATACCAATCTTTTTTTGGACCTTACTTGATGTGAAGAAATCTAGGCTCCTAGACATGCAAGGGGAGACACGCAGTGTTTTGTTAAGGCAATGAATTTGTTTTTACCAGTCTTTTACAGAAAAATGAGCATGCTGCCTTCTGTGTTTTGCCTGTTCAAGAACCCACAGTTGATAATCACATTGAGAAAAATCCAGAAAATGCCTAATAGTATGTAAGAGGTTCACCATATTCAGTACTACTTTGTTCACTTAGAGCTGGAGCGTATGTGTCTTTTGTGCAAAACTGTTTGCATATGCTGCATTCTAGCATGTGAGCTTATGGTACTTAACTCTAGCTTGGCATTCACATATGTTGTACTGCTCCTTCCTCTTGTGTCCTTCAGGGTCAAAAGAACAAAGCAGGTGGCATTGGAGTAGCATAAATACACTGACCACTGTGTCTTACTGGAGTTTGATGTTCCTGCTACTATTTTACATAGTGTTGAGCTTCTCACCTGCTGGGGAAACCCTCCCAACTTCCAAGCTTTTGGATGGTTATGCTACATAAGCAAGATGAGCCTTATTTTGAATTGGTACATCTCAAAATGTGGAGCAAAATTTAATATTCCTTGTCACCATGACACATTCTTAGAGTGGTTGGTATCAAACTGCATTATTTATACAGCAAAGTCAAATTCCGTAAGCCTAAATAAAATGTTTGTACAACTACTTTGGTGTTGAATTTAAATATATTTAATGATATAAGTATGTACATACATTTTGTTGCCCTGTTGTGAGTGGGAAGCTTTGGAACTATTTAATGAATCATTAAATGCTCCTAAGATCTTCCTTGGAGAAGAGCATTAACTATGACTTGATCTCATGTCAAGGCCACTGATGTTAAATCAGCTTTTGAAGTTAACTTTTGTATGTGGTTAAACTTGTTAGAAAAAACAGTATCACTTATGTGTACTTAATATCATAGCTTCTTTAAAGGTGTATTTTAACTTAATAGACTTTTCTTTGTTTCCTGGAAAACATCTCAAGTTTCTTCTAATCCTGAGAAAGTGAAGCACTTTTGTCAAATAAGGCTGGCAAAAGAGTGAGACAAACTTGGCTCATGCAGTGAGGTAGTCTAAGTAATCCAATGATAAGCTAAATTTCTCAAGACTGTTTCTTGTTCTAAGTGTGAAGCAAAATTGTGTGTTTTTTCTCTAGAATTGGGTCACTTGTGCAGCCATTTTAAATATGTGCAGTAATAAGAGAATCTTAAATCTATTTTCTTATTGCTCAAGGGTAGACCTGAAACTACCTAAAGATGCTCAGATAATTTTATCAAGATAGATACGCAATAAGACCACGAGTGGCAGCTAGCCAATCCCCTTCTCTAACTGAGGAAGGGAAAATGTACCTTGCTACTTAGTGTTCTGTTTCAGTGGAAAACCTGAGAGAGAGAGAGAGGGAGTAAGCCGCTCAGATGCTGACTTCATTAACATTCAGCTAGAGGCTTGCTCAGATGCTTGAGATGAAGGGGTTTAATATAAAATGTTATTGCTTAAGAAGTCACCTACTGATAATTTTAAATAAGCTTTAGTGAAAAAACTAGTATTAAAATGCATTTAAAAGGTCAACTTTGTTACTGGTAACTGCTTTATAGCATAATGTGTGGTAAGTTTTCCAGAAGTCAGGAGGATAGAGCAGGGGAGCAGTGGTGCTTTTGACAGACTTGAGCTTTTCTTGCAGGGAAATTCCTCTATTGAAAAGGAGCACCCCAGACCAGTTGCTAAACCCCAAAGTGCTTTGTAAAACATGGATTATGTGTAAGCCACTTGTGCATACTGTTTTATGAAGAAGGAAACATCCTTTCTTGCTATTACTGGAGCTGAGATCAGCTTTCTGGTTTAAAGCATATTGTCTATATAAATTTGGAATAACTATTCCATTCATGCCCTGTTTGTACCAGATTGTAGTACAAATCAAATGTGCTGATACTTGCTGAAATGCTTGCATATAATTTTAAAATGGGCTGTATTAATACAAATAGTTGTAATCATTTACATTTCTACAGAGAAACGATGTAGTTCACAGTGAAAACAATAAACATCCTGCTTTTTTAATAGTAAATACAAGTATCTTGGATAGCTGATCTTAGCAGTTATATGGCCTTGTACAGAATACAAGTTTCATAACTGAGTGTGTGGGAGAAAGATGTTGCTAGCAGAAACTTCTTGGCTGAGCTGATGTTCTAGTGTCTAAAAGTAGATTTTAATGTGTTGGGATTACTTTGCTCATGACATTTTTCAGCATTGATCACTTAATGCTGTTGCTAGTTGGTTTTGATTTCCGCCCCCCACTTGTGAGTTTCTGGCAAGAATCTAATTGGCCAGTTCTACACCTGCACAGTAAGTTAAAGCAAAGATGTCATGAGTATTGTTACAGGTTGGGCTGCATGGGATGATTTTTTAAGTAGCATAGCTGTAATTGTCATTATTACCTGAATGTCTCAATCACTTAGTAAAATTTTAGGAGAGTATTATTGAGCACCCCTGGAAATGAATTATGTAAGGGGTAGTTTACTGAGCTGCCATTCTCCCCACCACTGACAGTACTAAACCAAGGAGGCAGTTAGTAGTCTGCTTTAAATTTATGACATACACCTCTCTACATGTCATCTTTTCCACTGTAGAAAGAGCTTTGCCTCTGTCCTCAAGACCAGTGTAATTGCAAAGCTACTCTAAATCTCATTTAATTTTTTAGTACAGTGGTGTGTGCTTGAAGAGCAAATGAGGATTGGTAATACCTGTGCAGATTATGCAAGAAGTACTGATCAGTCTGCTTACTTCTGAGCACAATACACTAGGTGTGTAAACTTGTGATCCTGGTGGGGGTTTTATTTATTTTTTTTCAAGTACACTTTACCTCTGTGACTTAAAACTTTTTCTCCCTTGCTTGTAGCAACAAAGTTTATGAAAGGATGGTAATGCTTTGAACCTGAACTTCCTGGGAAGGAAGGGTGGGTGGTCTGCATACATCCACAGATAAATTTATGGTTCTGTAACATTTTTTGCATACTTCCCATGGAGACCATGAACAGGACTGTACACTTGGCTTTTCGCTGGTAGATGTGTTTCAAGATTTGGAGGTTCTTCATTTGGGAATTGAAAGTGAAATCAACAGTTTATCCTGGCTTATTTTCTGGTTACTGTTCCCAAAGTGAGAGTGTGTTCTTTTCATCCAGAAAGACCGCTTTGCTGTGTCATGACTTCTCTGATCAACTGTGCAGGTGGAATATATTTTCCACTTCTCTTTACTTGGGTCGACAGTGCTCTACTGGTTATCCAGTTCTGCCTCTCTGGATTTTTACGGGCTAGTGACCACAAATGATTAATTCATAAAGTTGAAAACAAAATAATTAAAATTACTATAGCCCATGATGCAATTAATCCACTCATATGGGCCATAGTGAAAGATACATAGATTTCTCACACTGCTGTTGTGCCAAGTACTCTCCTTGATGAGACTACCATGAGCCTGCACACACATAAAAGAACCCCAGGATTGGTGGATTCAATGAATATCAAGCTTTAATATACAATGGCTGATCATTCTGGATGTTCTTTAATTTTTCATTTTCAAATGCCCTTTGGTTATTTTCAGGGACTTGCTTAAGAAGTGAGAGTAAGTACTTGTGAGAAAGAGCAAAGGGACACTGGTAAATGTTATCTGTGGCCACTTTCTAGGAAGACTTGTCTTTTGACAGATTTATCCTTGTGGTCTGTCAGGTAGACTGGAAAGGGATAAAAGAAAATCGGAATGTAGGAATGAACCTATACCAAAAAAGAGGAAAACTTAATGAAAAGAAGCATTTGAGACTGACTGAGGGCAACGAAGCAAGCAAGGTACGTAAGACCAGCAACATGAAGCAGGCCAAAAGACAGGGAACACTGAGGATGAGAATAAGCGGGGGAGAGGAATGGTTGTATCTTCCATACAATCAAGAGTCTAGTAGCTGCAGGATGTTCAGGTATGACCAACTAAACAACTGAGAAGTCATAAATGCCTTACTGTATGCTTGTACTTTGATATGATTTCATTTATAGGGATTTTCTGAATTGTTGCATCTCTCCTAATTGTTTTTTATAGGAATTTTTATTCCTATTTAATGTATTTTTTTTTCTCCTTTCCTCTGCTAAATAGATTCCCATTATCTTGTTACTTCAGTCTGTTGCCTCCTGCATTTTCAGATGTCTCAAATCTTGTTTTGCTCTTCACCACAGAAATACTGCCAGTGGTTCATATCAGTCTAACCTTTTAGGACCTAAGTAGCTTCTCTTTTGCAAATTCTGCTGCTTACTATAGTATTTTACAGGCTAAGAAACAATGAGTAACACTGTTTGGATTTCTAAACAGCTAGCATGCACTGGCAGAAAGCCATCAGTAGGATGGTCAGGTCTTCAAAGCACTGTCCTCATACAGAGTTCTGTATTTTAAAGGCATAACACTGCTCTACACTAATTATGATTTACAACTATAAAGCCTCACACAAAACCTTATACAAATTATTCCATCTAAATGTGTGACAAACTTTGCAGGGTATCAGCAATATTTCTGGGCACTGCTTGCTTCACTGCATTTACCTCTTTAGCACTTTTAAAAAAAATGTTTACAGTTACAAAAATCAGAGTGAATATATTAAGATAAATATTAAATTGCTACTGCAATTTGACAAACTCTCTGGAAACCACAATTTTATTCCTTTCTTTGGAGCAGGAAAGGAAAGCTGGGTCCTGCTTTCTTCATGAAAAAGAAATGTTTGTTTCTTTCTAAAGGCAAGAACAACGTTTTATACTTTAACACTGTTTTATTGTACAAAACAAGCAATCTATTAAATATAGCATCTGTCATCCTTCAGAAAGATAAATACATGTACAGACACATGAGTTTTTTTCCTTACATTATAACTTGTCCCTTCAAATCAGTATTAATTTTTTCTGTCCTTTTCAATGGAAGAGGACAAATCACTAGTTAAGTTTCAGTGTGCTTCTAAATGAAGCCTTGAAATGCAGTCTGTCTGCGTAGTACTACATGATAGAGTTAACACTCCTCAAATACTACTATTCTTTAGGCAGTGGCATTTCACCGTGATCAATTCATGTCTGAAATCTTGGTTACTTCATCTTTCATATCTTTGATCTCAGTTTGAACTCTTGTTAGATTGGAAAATTTCTCATTCAATAAAGCAATTTCCTTCTCCCGTCGTAATATATCCTCCACTAATCTTCCTATTCTCAGTGTTAGGTCGTTTATTAATGGCTCCAGGATGGCAAAATCCTTTTTAAGTTTGTACATCTTGGGTTTTAAATCATTTGCAAATGTAACAGTCTTGAGAACTTTTGCTCTGTCACCTTCAAGATTCAAAAATCTATCCGAATGCTTGTTAAAATCACTCCTTAACTCAGATAATGCTGTCTTAATTTGCTCAATTTTTCTTCCATTACTGGATGCCAAGTTTTGTAGTTTTGTACTTCGGTCAATGCTACTGGTAAGCAGGTCACCTATATTTTTTACTGTCGTCTTTTCACCTTTTTCTACTTTATCTTCTAGTGTTTGCAGAGAATCTGTCAACGCAGTCATATCTGAGACGAGGCCTGAAATGCGCCTTATGTCAGTTTTTACTGTCACAATCGTCAAAGTTATATGTTTTGCTACAGAAGCTGCATTCTGTTCAACACTTGAAACTGCATGAAAAAGAGTTGTTAAGTTTTCCTGCAGTTGTTCTTGTTTTTTAATTATGCTGCTAGACCATATTTTCATTTTATAAATATCTTCCTTCAAATGTTTAATGTGAGAAATTATTTGAAGATCTTCCAGCTGTTCCATTATGTTCCAAGTCTTTTCACACTAGAGGGATACAAATAAAAATATTTGACAAGATTTATAGTTTAATAACTCATATCAAAATTAAAGCTATAAACTAATAAAATATCTTACTATTGATACTGAAATTGAGAGCAAATCCTGTCATTAAGAAATAAATTTCTGTTGCAATAGAAATGAAAATTTCTTTTTTTTTCCTTTCAGTATACATAAATTCAAATGTTACTGCTGCTTCTATTATATAGCAAAAGTTACAGGAAGGTGCTAGATGACTTTCCAGCATGACTTCTGAAAACACAAGTAATCAAATACAGTCTTCTGATTTAGAGAAATGTTTGTATTAAACCTAAAACCTTTGTGATCCAGAAGATATTCAGAAACATTTTAGAAAGATGCCTACTTTAAAATTCTCTTACTCAGAAATCATGGATTATAGTTAACTGAGGTGTTTTTATTTTGGTAATCATATCTATTCAATGGAATAAAAAGCCAAAGGAATATAGGCATGGTGCCCTTTTGTTGAAATAGCTAACAAATTACTTCACAGGAAAAACATGACTTAAAACAGCCTGCCTCTAGAAAAGCTATTTTAATGAGGGAACATGCATGCTGCTGTTGAGATTCTGGGCTGAATTTTCTAGTTCACTTTTGGGTTTTTTTTTTTTTTCAACAATTTGTTCATGGTTTTCTAATTTGAGAGGAAGAAAGGAAAGGAAAATACCCAAGTGATACTATCCTGTTCAATCCCTAACAAGTCAGCATAGAACTTGGAGAGAAACAGAAAAGCTGGAACATATTCTAAGAGGCTATAATTAGTTCCATACTAATCATTTTCTTGACACTAGTAAAAATATCACCAAAGAAACAAGTATATTAAACTTGGTAGTGTTGGTCATTCCTCAGTAGCACAGAACTGTCTCCTTCAAAACAAAATACCAAAATTTAGGTTGTGGACAGTCATACTGGTTTCCTAGGTAATGCTCTCTAAGGGTGAGGATTTCCTGTTCAATCTTGTGTATATTCACCTTTCAACATTAAATTGGGGAGCATGCTACTGGTCATATAGCCACCTTTCCCCAAAAATGTATGTAGTAGACACAAGGGAATGCACTCATGGAAAGTATTTACAAAACATTTCCATATAGAATAGTATTTCTTAATGGAACACTGAACATTAAAGTTTTTATTCCATACCCTTTCTGGAAGAGCAATTTATTTTGAATTAGATTATTTACCAGGACAGGGCAATCCACTACATTTTATTGAATATGACTGTAAACATACAAATCTATTACTTAAGTAATTTATGAAAATGTTAAGATTGTAACATTGAGAAATGCTGGTTTAATAGTCTCTTGAATGGGCAGCATTAACTGTTTAGTGAAGATTTCAGTAGAGTTCTAGATAATTAATGTACAAAACCAGAATAATTTCATTTAAGCCTGATTAAGTCATAAATGTTGTGGGTTCACATTGTCTACTAAGCAATCTCCTTTGCTGAGTTTAGAAATCAGGAATTGGAAATTATCAAGATAAACCTGTAGATATAAGTTTATGGCAGTCCCAAGATTCAGGTTCAATGAACAACTACCAGGCCTGTTAGGTAGTACTACATTCCATGTAAGTAGATCTATTAGACATGGATAAATTACATATTCCCAGCCTCTGAGTACATAACTCCATGGCTTTCATTAATTGCTTTTGCAGTTCTTTGGGAAACAATGTCAGTGAAACTGTTTTTTTCCTTTGAAATGCAAAGCAATACCAGACATGTCATGTAATGTCTAACTGAAAACATTCTACAGAATAAAAGGTTAAACTTGTTTCTCACAGCACCAAAACAAACCCACAAAACCCAACCTCAAACTAATACAGTGACTGATCACACCAAACTTGCAAATTAAATGATGGAAGAAGCAGCTAACAGGAATATGTTAATAAGAACTTCAGTCTATATGTAGTCCAATGACTTCAATGGCAGAACAAAACTATGCCAATGATTTTAAGAAGTTTGAAAGGGCTAGAAATGACATCTAAGGTGTCTATTCAAATGGCATCAAAAAATAAAAGATATCATCAACTGTTATGTAACCCCTTGCTTACAAATATCAGTACAAGAGAAGGTTCTCAGTAAAGGGTACTTAACTATTGTTCTCTGCAATGTTGTTGTATCTAAGCTTCAACTGTTAAAAATGTACTTAGTTCTTTCCTGCACATAAAATATGTAGATTCCAGTTAACAACTCTGACACTGAGAAGTCTGTAACCATAAGCACAAAAACATTATGGTATATAACACATTAAAAGTGAGGTACATGTATATCTGCCTAGAGGTAAGAACTTAGTTGTTCGTTGTGTTACAAGTTCATGGAATATAATACAAAAAGTAGAAATATAAAAAAACCTACATAGTGAAAACTAAATATAAATTGTAATCGGATGTCTCTGGTTTTGACTTTTTTTCCTTAAATCTACATACTTTGCTTCATATTACTTTTTAATAAAAATGAACTTTTAATAAGTAAGGTGAAAATAATCCTTAATTTAATAAAATACTCCTTTCCTCCTTTAAAACAGTATTTTTTGCTCTTTAGTTTGCCTTTCAGTCTGATCCAATGCCTATTTAAATTAATGACAATATTTGGCTGTCCTTAACATATGTTGGAATCGCATTATTTATAATAAATTAACACACTTTTTCATCAGTGAAAACCCTATGTCTAAATTCACTTATCCCCATTCTGGTCATTTTCTAAGTTACAGCTTTCTTTTGCTTTTGAAGATACTTTTATGTCATGTACTACTCCTTCTAAAACCACTGTTTCATTGTGCATTTTCAGTATGTTGTCATTATACTGTATGCCTTCAAGAACCTTTTGCATCACCATTGTATGTGAAACAGTTTTCAACATACGATTTTCAACAGTATATAGCTGTGTTGTCAAGTCCTCTATCTTTTTCTCCATACTTAGCAATTCACTTGATAATCTAAGAATAGAGTGAATAGAATTTTCAATTGTTGGCAAATGGGTTTTGCACTCTTCCATTTTAGGTTCATAGTTCACAAGTTTCTGATTCAGGTCTGTGTCCTTGGCTACCAGACTATTCTGTTGTTCTTCTAGCTTTTCAACTGCCTTTGCGTGTAAGTCCAATTTATGTTCAACTCTAGAGAATTCATCATCTTCTTGCCTTTTTAGTGTTTTGATATTTCTGGCTGTACTGTCTTCTGAATCTCTTACTCTCTCTGAAAGGGATTTAATTCTTTGGTCAAATTCATTAATTTGGGAAGTAACTTCTGTATGTATGAACTTTGCTTCAGATTTTAAACCACTAGTGTTTGTGTTCATTTCATCCAAGCTTCTTCTCCAGGAATTTGTAACATTTTGGAACTTCTCGTTAATGCTCTGCATCTTTGTAGAGAGAGTCTGTTGATTGTTCTGAATATCATTTATGATGTTATGAAGAGAAGATATTTCCTGCTCAAACTCCGTCATCACAGTGATGGATGAAGCAGCTTCTTGTAGGATACTTTCAGAAGACTCAAGCTGCATTTATAACACAAAACAATGTCTATGTCTACTTAACGAAAGTAAGAACAGAAAACCATCTGCATTTATTTAACAGAGAATAAAGTCTCTTACAAGCCTTACTTGTTAAAAGCTCCTATAAGATTTGCTTTCATAATTCATCTTTAAAATACTGTTGATTAACCTAGCATGAAAAAGTCACAGAAAAGGTTATGTTTGTTGTTGAATTTCTATAGCATATATGCCATTTTCTTTGTTGTCAATCCCTTATTTGCCATGGTGATTTTTTGGTTTGTTTTTGTGGAGGGAGTTTTTTGTAAAATATATCACACTGCATAAATCTCATGCAACATTTTGCAATATGAAGTGTAGTACATAAACATTCAAATTACATCATGTATAAATGACATCATTATGAGATCAGTGCTAAAACATCATCACTGGCATAAACTATGCTCTAATCCTAATCCCATCATTATCTGTAAATTATAGAGGATAATTTGGCAGCCAGCTCAGGCTTCCTACTTGATAATGTCACACATAGATAATAAAACAGCAATGAAAAAATATTACTATCCCTTTATTAGGTCTTTCATATTATTAGAACAGGTCTACTACATAAGACCTGTAAATTTTCTTCAAATCAATGTACATTACAATTATACACAGAATAGTATTGGTAGAATGAAGTACGTGCATAAATAAATTTTCAAAAACAGCTTAGTGTCTAAAAAATAGTACTGAGATACAACCACTATATTCGCATATTTGAATAGTGGTATGGATTGACACATTTAGTCACACAAAATATTCTCCAAAGGCCTATTCACACATTATGAGAATTTAAGTTAAATTTAACTAAATGACAACAAAGTAAAACAATGGCAAGTGTCCCCTAGAGGTTATCCAATTAAGATGTTAATGATTACCTTTTCAGAAATTAAGTTAATTTTATTTTCCACATCCAGGAATTTTTCAGCTTTTTGCTGTAAGAAACTGTACTTTTCTTCCATATCAGCAAATTGACCTGACTGCTGAAATAGGAACCTGCAAATTGCAAGTAAATAAATAGTAAACATAACTATAATTAGCACATATTAAGTGTTCCAGGACCTGATTCACAGCAATCTGTTACTGCAGGGATTTGTGTTCACAGAATTTGTTAGATCAATACATGAGAGAAAAAAAATTAAATTTATTAAAAAATCAGAATGAAGTTGAACTGTGTTTTATATTGGAGTTACCATCCAACAGAGGTAGAAAAATAAGGGAACATCCATAAACATGCTTCATTTTTACACTGTATGTTATTCAAAGAGGAAAAATGTCTGATAAGACTGCTGACAGAGGGGCTGTTACATGCTCATAATGCACTGCCTCTATGTATTTTACTGATAATGTGTTATTTAACCAGTGGAAATATGCAAAAAATAATTTGGGACTTTCTTGCAAAGCATCATAAAATCATGCATAGAAACCTCTGGATTTAGAAAGGCTGGTTAACATTGTTTAATTGTAACCATCCAAGAATATAGGGTGCAAAGCTTGTATAGCTAATGTTATGACAATGCTAGCTTTGAACAGACAGTAGAGTTCTCAGTCCTGTACTTTATATACATTCTAGATTCATTTACTGTGAACTTGAGAGCTTTCTAAACTGTAAGCGCTGTCCAGTTAAAAAGAAAATGAGACAAACGAGCAAAAACCCTTGATTTTTCTGGGTGTTTATTAATCCCAAAACAAGGCTTGTTGTAGACTATGCAGGGGTCCTCTCAGTACTAAGAACAATTTTATCTAGAACAATAGAGTTTATTTAAAATATTTGTGCTTTCATAAATTGGTATTAAGTACATTGAACAGCAAGTAGAAGTTTCAAAAGATCTACAGTACTCTATACAGATTAAATTTGGCAAGAAAAGCTAAAATGCTAGCTATAGATGATAAATGCAAACCAGACAAACATATATAAAACAGTAAGCAGAAGCATCACTAATATTTTATTCTACTATGTCATTCTGTTTCTCAAAGATTTATATAATGAAATCTGAGTGATGTTAAAAGAAGAACAAATTTTACCTTAATACCAAGATTGATACCTAGAGTGTAAAAATCTGGACTAACTTCTTGCACTGGAGTTCTCAGTATCTCATCATATCACTTCTGCATGAAACTCAAAGTTTCTGTTGAAACTAAGCTACTGATGCTGTTAAGATGTTCTAAAACATCTTTTAAAAAGATACTTGACCTTTACTTGAAGACTCTATCTGATGAACAATTTACCACAGTGCTGAGACTATTTACAGAAAACTCTAAATTTGCTTCTTCCACTGAATTATTTATCATCTGCCAAATGAGCTTTGTTGTCCTTATTGTCAGATTAAGTTGCTCTTCACAGTTAGATGTAGTCTCCAAAGCAGATATTTACAATTCATGAGCATGGCACCTTTCAGACTTTCAACATGATAGAACAGATCAAGCTTCTGTAATCCCTCACCGTATACCAATGTTTCCACACTTGTAAATACTGCTATTCTTTTCATGATCCTTCTAGCTTTAACAAGTTTCTGTAGTTCACTTAACCCAAACACTGTATTCAAATGTAACTAACATATTGCCCGTGCGTGACTGATTACAGTACCGAGTCCAAAAGAAAGTATTAAAATCCATTTTAGAGGGTTACCTACCAGATCAGCACCAGACAAACAGCAAGGAAAATTATGCTGAAGCTTGTTCGTGAGTCCATCCAAAAGGAACTCCAGTTATGGCTAGTCCCGGGACTTGCCAGCTTCCCACAATTACTGTGCTTCTCAACCTTTTGAGAACCTTCATTGGTCTTGAATGAAGAAATACCTTTTTTCCTCTGCTTAACTTCAGACATTTTCTGTTTTTAAAAAGCAGAAGCAAAAGAAAGCGCTAGGGGAAAAAGAAAACAACAAACCAAAACAACAACAAAAAGGACTAGTTTCCTTCTAAACATCCTCAAATACAACCTATTGTCCTTTAGTTACAAATACACCTCCAAAAATGTTTACATTTTCTAGTTACGTAAATCTTTGTAAAGCATCACAATACTTTCATAGAAACAAATTTTCTGTGTCTTATAGACACTGCTTTCCAATTTTATTAAATTGACTTTTCAAACTTAATTTCACCTTACCAGAAATATTTAATCTGTTGTACAAATTTTATTAAATTGACTTTTCAAACTTAATTTCACCTTACCAGAAATATTTAATCTGTTGTACAATCAGCCATTTTGAAGATAAATTTAAAATCAGAGGGACTGAAAGCATTTCTTTTTATAGTAGATTAGTCACAGTTTAATCAATTTCACTATCCTGTTTTACTTGTAATTTTTTTAAAAAAAATGTACCTACTCCACATTAGACGCAAATTAAGTTTCTCATTTTTAAAAATGGGATTGCAAATCAAGCTTTAATTTAGAAATAGTTCTGTTGCAATGATTTCATGTCATTTGTAAAACCACAGATATCAGTTAATAGAAAATCATTAATAGAAAAACAAAGATTAATGAAATCATGCATCTAGGTAAAAGAGAAGCTATAATTTTGTCTTTGCTAAAATTAAGGTCTGAATAGACTCAAGCAACATGAACCTCCTCCAGTTTTGAAACATAAAAAAGCTCCTAGTCTAACCAACCAAGTGGGAAGTACAGAGGGGAATTTTTAAGCCTAAAATTTTCCACCATGCTGCTCAAAATACACTAGATCCTTAGTGGATTTGCTTTAGCCCGGTTTGCGATAACAATGCTGTGCTTCTTTCTGGATTATTCTGTGGTATTGCCACATACCAAAATATAAATATTTAAATATTAGATACTTACATAGTGACATGAAGGTGTAAACCGCATTATTTACAATCCAAATCTGTCACAAGAGCACAAAGCTTAGAGCTGTTTGTGACAGTACTGGGAAGCATGCCCTGAGTTTGAGGTATGTAGGAAAAAAACACCTCTTGCTCTCAAGAAAAATAGCAAAAATGCGAATTTTGTAACTTTAAAAACACATTTAAGATTAAAAGCATGTATTATGAAATTAAAATTTTTAAAAAGAGACATCTCTTTTAGGTCTGTTACATGTTAGAAAAATAGTTTAATACAGGAAGAACAACAGCTTTAGGACAAGTTCAGAGGCCCGCACGGCCCAGATGAGCGACCGCGGCTCCCCACAGCGACCTTCCCGAGCCTCCCACACCCCACCCGGCCGCCGCCCCTGCCCTGCCTGTGCCCGGCCCGGGGCTCCGAAAGCTACCGACTGCCCCCTCCCTTTCTGGGCACCTCCACAGCCTGCCCACCCTCGGGGCTCCCGGGAAACCCCCAGCCCAGGAGCCGCCCCGCCCGCCCC